ATTTTCAGTTTGATCAATTTTCTGGAACGTTTACAATCGTTCTATAATCGAACCAATATGCAATAACAAATTCGAATTTAAAACGGTTCAAACATTTGGTTAAAAAATCGAAATATATAAAAATATTTATAACAATGTCTGAAATGTTATCAATTTAATACACCTAAGTACTCAATGAAGATTAAACGTTGTTGAAAACAAAAAATTGCATCTAAAATAGTACAGTAGAAGCCGTTCTTCCGCTCCCCCTGCGGGAGAATTTCGAAAAATCCCTTCTTAGTGTGCATTCCCATGGCATACCCTACTAAAACACAGATAAAAACAAAATATCGCATCTAAAATAGACAGTAGAAGCTGTTCTTCCGGTTAAGCCTTAATCCTCTCCCTCTCCCCTCCGCCTGGGAATTTCAAAAAATCCCAAATTTCACCTGTTTAGGGTCAGCGGTTTGCTCTGGGCAATGATGAATCAGTCATTCAGTCAGTCAGGACAAGTAATTTTATATATTTAGATTTAGTTAGTTACACCTCAACTGCTCTCTAAACACTTTCCAACTAAAGCTTAATTTGAATAATGAGTAGAATTGCATCCTATTAATTTAGGGTTTATTATTTAACATTTCAGTCATATCTAGTCTACTTAGTTTTGTTAACTTTGTAACCAGATATTCATGTATACATAAAATATAAGTATTTTGTCAGAATATTCAGCATGCAAAACAGCAATATATAAAAGAACATTGTCAAACTGACACAGCAAACTTGCTTTCACTTTGCTGGTCAGTGTATAGCTATTGAATTGCAAGTGATTAATTTATTGGTGCCAATTAGGAGTTTTTCTTTTATTCTAGATTTAGAATAATTGCCACCAATAAAACTGATTATTATTACATTTGTGTTTTATACTAATCATGGCTGTGGAGTCAGTAGACAAGCCTGAAAGTCTGCATTATAAAATTTTAGATGATCTTACTCTGACCCTTGCCTTTAAACAATAATTTTAAATATTCTTTGATTAAATTAACCCAGGAAAAAATTTCTCATCACTACCAATTGAATTATCAGACTACTTTTTAAGCATTTTCTGAGTGAATCATAAGTAATTTCAGTTTTGCTAGGAATGTCTAATCTTGTTTCAGTTTTCCATTATTATTGCTATCATCTTCAATCACACATTGACACAATGTTTTCCATCTGTGATTATAGTAAAATATTCATTAAATAACTTTAATGAATGTGTGCTGCATAACCTCCTCTAACATGGTCCTGGACAGTAAGAGGAATTTTTTTATACAAGCAATGAATGTTTTTTTGAAATTGTGCATACCTGTGGATGCAATGGTTGCTTGATGAATCATTGCTTAAATTGTTTGGAAATGTCATTTTCCCAGGGATTACAGACTACATTGTTTGAAATTTGTGCATACAAAACAGGCTGTGGAGTCGGAGTTAGGAGGAATGTGTCGACTCCGACATTTTAAATTTAGTTTTTTTTATTTAAATGAAAGACATTTTTATAAAATTAATAATTAAATTTTATTTGTATTTTGTTATAATTCATTTATTTTAAATACAAAATGATAAATATTGCAACAATTTAATTTGTTAAATATGTGTGTTTAGTAGTTAAATTATTTTGACCCAATTGAATTTGATTATTATTGTTTCATTCCTTTCTTATCCCCACTCTCTAAATAAGTGTTCTATTTTTCTGAATGAGCCAGACTAATTGATCACAGTATATATTTTTCTTTTCTGAACAATGGGCTGAAGTAGTTCAATTAAAAATTGTGCAATCTAGCTAACTTTTCTGGAAAGATGAAATTGAAGTGCAAAAGCTGTAGATGTAGAATTTTATTGCTCCCTTTTTTTCCTCTTATTAAATAAATATTAAAAATACTAATTTTTAACAAATAACTTGCTTTTATAGTTTAATATGTATTTGGGTAAATGCCCGGGGCTCCTTTCAGAGTTCAGAGTAAGGTAACCCCAGTGAGCGCCTCTGCTCCCATAAAATGACTTTGTATATAATTTTGTCAGAGTCGGCCAACTCAGGAGTCAGAGTCAAGTGTTTTTTTACTGACTCCACAGCCCTGATATAGTTACCATTGCACATGAAAAGGAATTTTTGTGTTTTGTTTTGATAAATGTTTTCTGGTTATTATATTACAGACATTATTATTTAACTAATTACTTTCAGGTCATTAATTATTGTTGACATATACTATGTAGTTAAGCAAGTAGATTCTTATGTCTATGTTCTAAACATGTACAGGCTTCTTTCTTGTGTTTATTTCCTAAACAATGCTGTATAACAATTATTAACATTTGCATTAGATTACTTTACATGTAATACCTGATACAAACAGGATGTGCATAGATTATATGCAAATACCAAAAATCCAAATTTCCCATGGATACCAAGGGACAACTGTATATATAAAACAGATTGACATATCTGAAGCATCACATTTGCACTTTTATACAGGTATATGTATATACAACACAACACACATGGGATGAAGTGTAAATACAACTTTTCCACGTGATATAATTTATATTTAGTTTTCTCTAATATAAGCTTACCCAAAAAGGCTGATTAAAAGTCTTATGCTAAAGTTAATTTTTTGAAACTATCTCTTACACACACCATCTATGAACTGATGACTAAATGTACATTTTATGTTTAAACATATATTAACACTTACCGTGCTGGTCTAGTTGATTAAGATTCTTACCTGTGTGCTGGCTGATTTTTCTAATTTTACTAAATTTTCTACTGAAGATAGAAAATGTTCCACTGAAGGTAGGTAAAAAGCAGGGCTGTGACTAGGAGCGGACTAGTTACCGAAAGAGACCCGGAAGTTCTGATGTCATCTTGTGACCTCAGAATAAAAGATTCAATAAATAGAGTTCTAATAAAGATAGAACGTAGAAACTTTTTATTTCAAAGCTAAAAGACTCCTCTGAGTAATATATAAATATGTATTCGATAATTTTTACTTTTCCAGCTGTTATATATAACAGAGGATATATAACAAAGTGTAGCACTCGGTCAAAAAAATGACCTCTTCCAAATTTTTACATGTTTGGGCTCAGAACACCTTGAAATTTTGAGTTAATTAAGCAAAAGATTCGAGGTTTTTTCTGTGTGGGGGGGCATGATTTTGTTCACCCTGTTTGAAGCCTAATAATTTCTGTGGTCAAAGTGGTCAGAATCGGAGTTAGATGGTTTAACACAGAGTTAGTTATTTAGCATCAAAATGGTTGAACTAAATCGTGTCTCCATACACATTCTAACATCTTAGGCGAGAACATCTTAATGGGTTTTACTATACTATTATAAAATGAAAAAAAAAAAAGCTTACTTTGAGGGTAGAGACGAGTTTTATTTTATTTTTTTAAATTTTGAACGCTAATAACGAGTAAAATATTCATTAAGAGATACGACACATGACCCCTTTTATGTCTTCACCATGTTGACCTTTAAATTAATTAAGAACCAAAATTTAATTGTATTAATGCCCCTTTATACGCAAGCTACAGTGCCACATTTTGTTTCTTAAAACTTTACCCATTCTGAGATATTGTTTAATATCTCAGAACAGAAAATAAAGAAATTAAACACCAACACACACACTCGTGCAAATTTTTCCCCTTTATTGACTTTTTGGGGGGTTTGGGAGTTCTCTAAACGTGTAGATTTGCAAAAATAAAACTTGCAGTCAAATTTGATACGATTCCAATACTTTTCCATTTTATATACATAACAAGTTGGTAAGTAAAAAGAAGTCAGAGTCAACGGATTTTTTGATGACTCCGACTCCACAGCCCTGGTAAAAAGTGTAAACAGATTCTGATTTGTTGAACATTTCTTTATATTACACTCAATTTTGATGTATGTGTGCAATATTTTAATTAATTGCATTGCAATTTTATTTGGGCATGTTTTGCAAATAGACATAACATGAAAAAAGTTGAAAAACATTATAATGCTTATATTTTATGTCTTATTTACTAAGGAAACATGGCTAATTTATTTTTCATAATGTAGTAGTGTATGATACAATTTAAAACACAGTGTTACACACAGTCTTACATCACATTCGGTACACTGATACGAAGTGTCTTTTCTGGCTGCTTATCACTGCAAACAATGCATCTTCTTTGGGCTTTTTTTTTTTTTTTTGTCCTTTTGATATCTTTATCGAAAAAACACTTTTTAGATAGAGTAATCTCACAATTTTTTTATTTCCAATAGGATTATTGTTGATATTTTCTCCTGGAAATAACACTAAAGCAGAACATATATCTCGTATAAATTTAACAGTTGTTACCTTTTTAGTCATAATGTGTGTAACAAATGCATGCATTTTGCATAATACAATAATTATTAGATGAAAAGTATGTTTTTTTTTTTTTTTTTTCAAATTGTTTTGCCCTTTCCTTTGAACTTGATGCATGTCTGGTACTTATCATATATACATCTCTTTTGTCTTTCCATCGTATAGCTAATATGTTATTTTTACGGCGAAACGTTTGCTCTTCTTTTTTCAATTTCGCTTCTTTTAGCGCTGTTGGCAGACCTTTTCTAGTTTTCATTACTTTTCCTACCATCCCAGTATCTACTTCACTCAAATATTCTGCAAGTGAAATACTGGTATAAAACCAGTCAACATATACTGTATGACCCTTATTTGATAGTGGATCGACTAATCTTTTTACTACAGAAGCAGCTGTGTTTTCAATATTTTGTTCTCTGCCGTGATAGACTTCAAAATTCCAAATATAACCAGTGTTGGCCTCAGCCAATATATATAACTTTATTCCATATTTATTTGGTTTCTTTGCCATGTAAACTTTGGAACTGACACAAACCCTAAATGGATACATGCCTTCATCAATTGTCAGAGCCTCTTCAGGATAATATGTTTTTTGAAATTTGTTTATTATATTATCCATTAGAGGCCTCACTTTGTATAAAGCATCAAAGCCTTCTTCTCCTTTCTTTTTCTGTTTAGAATTGTCATTCAGGTGAAACATGCACAAAATATTCAAAAATCTATCCTTTGACATTATATTAGGACAAAAATTACAACTTATTACTGGGTCTTCACTCCAATGGCTTATCAAATCAGACTTTTCATTGATGCTCATATGCAGTATAATTGCAATAAATTTTTTTGTTTCTGCCAAAGTCAGAGTTTTCCACAATCTAAATCTGGAATTGGGACTTAAGCTATAATTTTCTGCCTTGCATACATGTTTGTTTTCTCTTTCATATTTGAAATGACCTCTTGATCAACATAATGATTAAAAAAATCAATAGGGTCACTAGTTTGATCAAGGCCAATATTCTTCTGAAGACCATGATCACCAGTGTACACAGTAATATTTGGTACCTGATCCACATCTTTCCAGTCCATATCACTAGTAGATTGTGCATTCACCCTAGCTCTCTTTCATGGATGTGATGGTAAAGCAGATGTAGAAGGGATGGAACTTACACTGCCATACATACACGAATCTGACTCTTGATCTAATAATATAAAAATATAATATCACATACTTTATAAACTATATATCTTCAAAGAAAATAGAATTATATGGATTACCTGTACTTTCTTCACTTCCAGATGAGCCTAAAATGTATTCACTATCACTATCATCACTTATATCAGTTTCATCATCACTATATTTGTCTAATTCTTCATTAATAAATTGAGAAATATCCTCCTCATTACGTCTTTGAGCCATATTTAATACTTTCTGAGAAAAAATAATAAAATAAATGAAATAAAAAAGCCGAAGTATAACAACCGTAACAAAAACCGAACTCGAAATAGAACTGTTCAAGCAATCTTAACAACGAATTCTTCGTTTAAATTTCTGAAATTAATATGCCCTCTAATGGTCAAAATAGGAACTAATAAACACAAATAATTCTTTCACGTTTTGCTGCACACGTAATGATACGTTTTAAAACTAAAGATAACAAGATATTTTGGAAAACGTAATTTTACATTCGTAGCACGGTAAGTGTTAAACGTCATAAAGTTATTTTGAAAAATCTTGCATTCTTATACATATGTATATATGTTACAGTCAAAACCCGTTTTTAGTTAGAACGCGTTTTAACTAGTTGAAACTGAATGTCTTTGTTAAAACCCGTTTTGTCTAGTTAAAACTAGTTTTAACTCAAATTCATTTTTGACTAGCAGTAAATTCTAGTTTTAACTAGACAAAACAGGTTTTAACAAAGACATCCAGTATAAACTAGTTTTAACTAGTTAAAACGCACCCTAACTAAAAACTGGTTTGACTGCAACGCATAGAGTGATTCGGGGTAAGATGGTAAGCGGGGGAAGATGCCTAATTTTTGATATTTTCAAACGGTGACGTCACATATTGTCATGTATTTGTATGATGAATCGTTGGGCCAATATTGAGTGCGGAAAGCTGTAGTTGGCTACCGTTACTTCATTTTCTACATCCGAGAAGAATAAAAGCTAGATAAGAACGAAGTTTTTGTTGTGAAATGTTTCTAGAATAATTTTAAACTAAAAGTTAAAATGGAATTTATTAAAAATTGCTAAAAACAATTAATGTGTGATGTAGTTAAGGTTCTAAAGTTTCCATTGTCAGCTACCGCCGATCCCGATCGGACATGCTGGAGCACGTGACTCTACTAGGCATCTTACCCCAACAAATGGAAAATATGCCACATTTTTCTTGGGGTAACGTGCCTATTTTTTGTTAATTGATTTCCAATATGCCTATTTTTAATAAACTTTTGTTTTCTCGTTTTATTGCAGGATATGCATAGAAATTATATAAGGACTTCTCAAAAAAGTTTTTGGACTGAAAAAAGCTTTCAGCTAGCTATAGAACACGTTAGAACGGGCGGAAACTTAACAATACTTATACTGTGCTGTTATACTTACTATGAAGTACTTTGTACTACATATGCAATAAATTAAATTTGGTTAAGAAATTCAAAAATTAATTTTAAGCAATTATATTTGTTATCTTACCCTAATGGCATTTGGCATCTCACCCAGATACTTGGGGTGAGATGCTTAAAATGCCAGACAGTGAAAAAGTCGTCATTGCAAACACAGTATAGAATTTTTTAAAATAAACTCCAAACTTTTATTTGAAAGACATACTCCAGAATATGATATTTTCATTAGAGGGCTCCTAAACTCAAATTAGCGCTGTAATTTTCTTCATAAGCAAAATGTTAGGCATCTTCCGCCGAATCACTATACATAACTTTATTTCCCCCAAACATATTTATGTAGCTAAAATTAGTTTTAACTAATGTTAAAAGTTAAAACTAGTTTTATCTAAAGTCAAAACATGTACAGCAGTAAATTAACTAGACAAAACCGGTTTTGTCTAGTTAAAACTAGAATTTACTGCTAGTCAAAAATGAATTTGAGTTAAAACTAGTTTTAACTAGACAAAACGGGTTTTAACAAAGACATTCAGTATAAACTAGTTTCTACTATACAAAACGGGTTTTGACTGTAACATATATATATTCAAAGTGTTCTTTGATCTAATTTGTTAATGTATATCTAAATTCATGTCATGTCTGAATATTCAATGAACCTGAAAACACCATTATGACACACTTTTTAGATATTATATATGAGAATTTAAATTGGGCATTGATAAGCTCATTTTACATAAGCCTTTGTATTTATAATGCATAATAATCTTTTTCAGCGAACATTTGTCTTCAAGTTTTTGGCAGCAGTGGTCTCAAGCGTGGATGAAGTAACAGTCAAAAGACACCTAACCCGAATTTTGACTCCTCTATGTCGAGAGGTCACTGAGAATTCTTGTCCAACAGGTAACTTACTTTTATGATTACTCAAGTTAAGGCAAAGCATCATTATAATATTAATACACTCAATTACTTTGTTCTTTTTCTCAGATACAAGCATCAAGGATTTGGCACGCCAAGTATTAGAAGTAGTTAGTGGCATCGTGGGAACACAGATCTTCACTGAGACTTATTCCCAAGTGCAAAGCTTTGTAATGATGAGAAGAACCGAGAGAAAGCGGGCCTTTGCAGCTGAGGTAAGTGGATCACAGTTTGAAGACAAACCGAAGCAGAAGGGAAGAGATACATTGACAATGTTGTTGTTGTTGTTTTTTAGGCAGTGACAAATCCAGAGAAATTTGCTCGCAAAAAGATGAAGGCACAGGCCAACAAGAAAAAGAGAAAAGTGTCAGCATTACTCAGAAACTCAAAAAAAGCCAAGCAAAGCAAGATTGTTTGACAGTTGTTCTATTGTAAATACCATTGTACATAGATTTTTATTGAAAAGAATTAAAGAATCTGATTTTTTAAATAATTTTTCTAAAAAAGACTAATGAATAGGATGAATGATACATAACTTATATATAATAATAATTACAATCTATATAAATGCAAAAACCACACTCAAAAGTGACTCAATGTGTGGCAAAAATATAATATAGTTTTAAGAGAAGGTGAAATAAAATGTGATTAAATACCATAAAACTTTCTATAAGTTGTTTTACCATCCTTTTCATATTTAACCTGTCCATCTTGTCAACAGTGTTTAATAACCATTGACGACACCATCTTTAATAAATTCTGTGAACATACATAGGAACACTGTCCAAATTACACTCAAATGAATTTTTGCAGTGTTAAGCATATAAACAAAATTTCATGTTGCAGTCTTGTGCCAAGAGTTGAACAATTAATGTAGAAAAATTGGGTTTGTCAGTTACAAAAACCAATATAGAGACCAAGATGAGATTGAGCTGTCAACAGTAGTAACCAGAGATGAAGGTGTTAAAAGCTTACCACTCTGGTCCAAGGTTGGATCAGCTCAGGCAAGTGAATTGATTCTTACTTGAACTCACCTTGTCCCTTACCATTCAATCATCTCTATTCCCAAGTTTGTCAAACTAACATGAACATGTAAAAACCTTTTTAGCATCTGCACCTCAAAAGATCAAAAATGAAACATGTAATAAAAAGTGTATACAATTTAACTGCTCAAATAAGAGAACTTCTTAACCAAGAAGTTCTCTTATTTGAGCAATATACAAGGTCTGTTCAAAAAGTATCGGACCTTTATTTTTTTCGCGTAAACCAATGATGCGCGAGAGGCCTCCTTCGGTGGAGTTGTGGAGGGGACAGTCATGCACAGCCCTGAATTTTTTCCCGCCTGCAGGAAGCGTCAGTCGTTGGCAATAGGCCTATGAGTGAGGTCATGTAGTGCGCTCTCGTCGGATTCCACTAAGCTGGAAAATGACTGAACAACGTGAGCAGCGATATTACATCAAATTTTGCCAAAAACCTTGGCGATACCCGAGTGTAAACCATTCGCAAGATTCAGCAGGCTTTCGGGGACGATCCTCGAGGCCAAAAAAAGCGCGGCAGGTCCGCAGCAATATCAAAGGTCATGTTGACAGTTTTTTCGACTCTCGTGGGGTGGTGTGTCGTGAGTACGCACCACAAGGCCAAACCATCGCAAAGGAGTACTACCAGGAGGTCCTTCGTCGTCTTTCCGATACAGTGCGATGCAAACGATGGGATCTGTGGTCGATCAAAACTTGGCAGCTCCATCGTGATAACGCATCCGCCCATTCTGCGCATCTGATTCGGGCTTTCGTCGCCAAACACAATACTCCTGTGGTTCGTCACGCTCCGTACTCTCTCCACATGGCTCCGTGTGACCTTTGGCTATTTCTCAAGCTGAAAATGCCGCTAAAAGGAACCCAAATTTAGTCGAGAGAAGACATCATGCGAAATGCGACGGACCGGCTGATAACCATTCCAAAAGATGCGTTCCAGCAGTGTTTCCAGCAATGGCAGGAACGCTGGGAGAAGTGTATACATTACCAAGGAGACTACTTTGAAGGGGATTAGGGTTTTGTACCTCAAAGTCAATAAATGTAGTTTTGCCGACCAAAGGTCTGATACTTTTTGAACAGACCTTGTAAATCTCACAAAACCAAAAATTCAGCTCATAGCACAAAACAATGGAGAAAAATGAATGTTTTCAATTGTGCATTAGCAATAATCTTCAAGTTAAAAAAAATGTATTCAGAAACTGATATCAGAATAGAAGAAATGATAGTTTTATATTTTAAATTATAACATAACATCTAATTGACACATTGTTGCATCTGGATGTAAAAAGTAATATTAAATATCTAATAATGGCTTCCAAGCTGGGGATAATGTGTTGGTGCCCTTGTAGTTGAGAGCAGTGTTATTTCTGCTGACCTTGTAAAATTTCTATTATTTCCAAGTACTTAAGTTGTGGAGGTTCCAGTGTGTGGGTGTATGGTGAATGAGACGTGCATTGTTAATGTTCAGCTACACATCCTCCTCCAAGGCATACGCGGCTAATATAGTTTGCCTTTTATTAGTTGTAATCATATGTTCTTGCAGATGATGTTTTAATGGATATATTGTAGTAGTGACCACATCTGTTATCCTATAGAGGTATGGCGTATACTCCCAGGAGGTACATCTTATTGATAGATGGGAGTTATTTCTGTAGGCCAAGGAAAGGTTGCCTCCTGCTACTTCTGGGTTTATAGTCATCAGGGTCTTGTTACACTGCACAACCTTGAATTTATCCACTGTTCCCATATTTTGGTCTTGCTCCACATACTTGTTCACTAAACTTTTTATTAATCTAGGAGGATAGCCAGCTGGGTAATGTACTGCCAATTTGTCAGTTCTTTCTTTGATACTAGAAGAGTGTGTGAACCACCTTTGTACTAAGGCTCTAAATGCTGCTACCTTGTATTGGAAGAAATATCATCAGGAGGACGGGATGAATATTGGATTAGGTTTGCGATATACCGATGTATAAATTGTATGTTGATATCCAGGAAATGGGCAACAGAGGTATGTTATTGTTCCATGCATAAGTGAGGCTAAAAGGATTGTTATAGAAAGAATTCAGAAAGACATCGATGTTTGGTTTATGATGCCAGATAATTTGTAGATCGTTAATATATCTGGGATTTAGGGCAATGTTATTCTCAGGATGGAAGGATCTGATTTTCCAGTCTCCTGACGATTAATTCACGAACTTGCCCGAAAGGGGACTTCCCACAAGCTGCGCTGCAAGCAAGCCACCTCAAACTGGAAGGAGGAGTGGCAAGTTAATTCGGCCAACTCTAATAAGTTATATTCGCATGGAAGTTGCCTTCTTTGCCTATGCGATTGAGAAGAAAGCATGGTAATATACATCAACTACGTCTTGTCGTGGACAAATCGGCGTCACCAACAATCCTTATCGGTACATCACAAATAAGTTAGATAATTACCATCGGGGCATTAAGAACTCTTCTACACAGCTTTTGGATCGTCTGTGTAACATTCAGATTGGATACTAGAAGAAGCCTTATTACAGTATGCGATTTCGAATCGATGTATCCGTCAATCAAAATGGAACCACGCTTTTGTGCACTGCGTAACTGCATAAACCATTCTAATCGTGCGCAAACTGATTTGAAATGTTTTTAAATTTCAAAAATGGGACGATGTTAATCTGATAACACGAACTACTGATTCGAATAAACAGGAGACGGCGCAATTAACGAGAGAATATTATGTTGATTTAAATAGGAATCAGACTGAGACTAGAGTCTTGTTCGAATTAAGAGGAAATTAATTATCCGAGTTCGAAATAACGAGAGTCTACCATAACAGGAGAGGCAAAGGATAGTCAACCATCGAAGCTAATATGTGCGCGCGTATCCTGGTGGTTCCTAGATTGAGCGGGTAAGAACGAGCATTTTGTCTGTATTTGTCAAAGCATTGTATTCTGAGTTCATTTTGTGTAAGCTGGATATAATTTGAATAGTAGTCGATAAAAAATTATACTGTGTATTGTATATATATTCTCATTTTTATGCGTTTGTGACCAGATGAGCATGTGATGGGCTATGGACACGCGTTTTACTTCACGTCCGGGCTGCCGGATTACGATGAGTGAAATAACTTTAAAGTATTCTGTTAATTCTTTTCGAGGAAGGATGGGGAATGGTGGAAAAATTTGAAGAATGAAATGTAATGTATAGCAGTGAATGCTGTCGAGAAGGAATGTAAAACACAAAAAAAAATTATAACAGGTGAAGTTGTTCGGTAATTTTAAAACAGTTTTTTACATGGAGTTCAAATCCATTGACTACTAACTTTCAAATTTTTACTAAACTTTTCTTTTGCTGGTTACTTTTTCTTAAATTTTTATCAATTTTTTTACTTTTTTCAGTAACATATTACAGTATGCAAGTTTTACTGTAAATATCCTTTAATTTTTTTTCTGTTGTTTCCATTTGTTGCATTTATTATGGTCTGATCTAAGCGACCAATATCTACTTTAACGCTTAATGAGCGATTATTTATTGTGACATCGTCACAATGCCATGCTGCAATTTTTAATTTATTTAATTTAAAATATACGCTTTCCACCTCGAATTAGTAGTGACTTGCCCCTGTACATTATACTTTTCCTTTAACAATAAAATCGTGCCGATCATCTATTAACTGATTTCAGGGGAAAACTTTTGAATTGAAATAATGTGACTTCTGGTGAAAACCGGGTGTTCATATATAGTTAATCGGGACCTTCTTCCCCTAGAGCAGGGGTGTCCAACCTTTTAGTTTCTTTGGGCCGCATTGGAAGAAGTCAAGGAGTTTTGGGCCACAAGTATAGCAGACCCCACCACGCGTTGTTGTAGCTCAAAATGTATCTATTATAAATGTATAACACTTCCCCCGTGGAGGGGAAATTTTTCGAAAAATTTCTTCTTAGTGTACATTCTCTTGACGTACCCTATTAAAACGCAATCAAACACGCAAAAACCCGCATCTAAAATAATATAATAGAAGCCAAGTTCTTCACGGTAAACCTTAATTCTGTTCCTCTCCCTCGCGGGGGAATATCGAAAAATTCCTTCTTAGTGTACATTCTGTTGACATACCCTATTAAAACGCAATCAAAAACGCAAAAACCCGCATCTAAAATAGTATAAATAGAAGCAGAGTTCTTTACCGTAAGCCTTAATCCTAACCATCTCCCTTCAGTGGGATTGAATTTCGACATGTATATTATATAAAAACACGTGCGTANCTCTGTCTTCTTCGGGTACTTTAATTCTCACAGCGAAACCTTCATCGACGTTTGGGTGCTTTGCATTAGAAACTGCTAACATTTTCTTTGCTTGCTTTTCTAAACATTTCTTGGCTTCATCACGCTGTATTTTCTGATCCATATTCTTTTTACAGATGATGCACAATACATTCTTACCATACCCTTCCTCTTTAGTATCTACTTCATCACAAACTGCGTGA